AAAAAAATAGCTGTACATCTACAAAGGCGAACGATTCGAAAAAGACGCAATCCCTGATGTGCGTACTCAGTGCCACACATAAAGCAAATTCTCATGAAAAACTGGCATTTAATAGAAACACAACCACTACTGAGCGAACTATACAAAAATCCGCCGCTCGTATCTTACAAAAGAGGGCGGTCGCTCAAAGACATACTCGTGAGGGCTAAACTTTGAATAGGCTACTCTAAACACACGCTGGGGAGTCGTGTAGGCCTGTCAACCCCATTTTACGGCACCATCTTCCTCTTCGCTACTGGAGACAACTTCGCTTCGTTCAGAAGAAGATTCACTTGACAAAACTTCAATATCTGCCATCTCCTTCGCCCACGAATACAAACAAACAGTGAGTGAAATAAACCATGCTATCGGAGTGAACACAACCAGTGACGTCATCAATCCATTTCGCTCGGTACCAGAGCCCGGACATGGTTTTGTGTAAAATTGTTGATTTGAACAGTTAAAAAAGATATCTTCCGCCTCATTTTGGCCAAAGCAAATTATCTCATGATGATCACCATATTCAAAACTACAAGTTAGAGCAAAAATTTCAGATACGAAAATTTCGTTTCAGTAGCACTTTAAACAAGAAAATCGTATGATTCTCATACCCGACGAAAACCTATTTCTCTAGTGCAGTTTATTCAACATGGATGGAGTCTCGCTAATTCATTGTTTATCTTTTTTTTCTTCAGCTTTTACCTTAACTATTTGCCGGGGGGGGGTACTCTCTTATAAGGGCTTAATGGGGACGTGCGGCCAGCCAGGGTATGTTTTTCGAGATTTTTGTCTTAAACAGGGTATCGAATTTATCCTTTTTTGTCTTAATCAGGGTATCGATTTATCAATTTTTGTCTTAAACAGGATATCTTTTCTTGGAAGATAAACAGCAAAATTTTTACAAGCTCTAATTTTAATTAATATTGAATTCCATTGATTTTGGCATTGATACAAGGCACATTAAATGTCTTAAATAGGGTATCAAAAATCGGAATTCTGTCTTAATCAGGATAGGAAAATCAGCGATATTTGTCTTAAACAGGGTCAGGGAATATATCGAGGAACCAGGAATATATCGAGTACCCCCCCGGGACTATTTGCTATGAAATCATTACTGACAACAAAATAAACATCATCTAAAACACATACAGCATGTTCATGCAAAAGACGGAAGTCGGACGTCATTATAAATCATTTCTTGGGAATCTCGAGTGCCACCTTACACAGATAAAACAGGAAACTTTCAGTTCAACAAGAAAGACGAAAATAATCAACTGATAACATTATTTGCATTTGTATTCTGTATCAATCTGTCGCCTCGTTTTTCCTTGGTCTGTCAGTTGTTACATATTTGGTGACTGTATTTGGTGACTGTATTTGGTGACGCCACTTCAAACCTTTTTTGACTAAAAGGTAATTTTCTATGTCGTCAGTAATGGTTTCAGATATCCTGACATGCCCCCTTGAAAAGTTTAATAAGAAATCGGAAACCAATCTTAAAAGGAGCATTGCTCTTTTGGCTGTTCGACCCTTTTTCGCGTGGCACACTCCAACAGGGTCGTGCATGCACGTAGGCACGTGTGATATTAGGCACGTGTGATATTAGGCACGTACAACCGAAAGATGTTATCGATGGACACCCGCCTGCATGTAAGAAGCTGATAGAAAGCTTGATTGACAGCTACCTGTCATTATCTGTACGCTGCAGTGCCATTGGGAAAATACTTAATAACGTACATTACAAACATTACGTCATTACGTTCCCAATTGACATTTCGGATATTTAGCCTAAATTTTACAATCCATCTTAATCCTTGTCATACTCATCTATTCTCGTTCTACCACGTATATTTTTACTTCCTGATGATTGCCTTCTCTTCATCAAATTCTACCTCTATTTCACGGAAATTTTCAGCACTACTATAATGACTCATTGAAAGATGGCACTGTTCTTAAGCTACAGTTTTAAGGTCATTTTGATATCTTAACCATTTTCTAGACTTCAAGTTCAAGGGACAGCGAATGGTACAATGAGAGACTCATGAGAGACCAAGACACCTATCTGAAAGACCGAGAGCGACACTAAAAAATTCTAAGCACTCAGCTTCTCATTATTACCGTTGTTTTTCTCAGATTATTACAAGATACTACTAATACCAATAAAATGATGGGTTCACTATTTTGAACAGTTTATAACAGTTTGAACAATTGCTTTTCTCAGGCTATTGTAAGATAATACTAATACCAATAAAATGATGGGTTCAACATCTTGAACAGTTTATAACAGTTTGAACCGTTGCTTTTCTCAGGTTATTGTAAGATACTACTAATACCAATAAAATGATGGGTTCAACACCTTGAAAAGTTTTGAGTTTGTTTTGACCACATAACAGTTTGTACGTTCCAACACTAGGAAAGGAAAACAATTATGAACAGATTTCCACCTGTAAACTACTCTTCTCTACACCACCCCTACGCTACAGCAACAACCATGAAAGCTCAAAGGAAAGATATGGAAATTTTTGCCGACTGAATGAAATGAACCTATCAAATTCCAGTGGAAACTGGCTCTTTATATCGATACGAGGTATCTAAACAATTGAAACAGAACGGTTTCGACATCAAAACGAATATTTATAAAAGAATTTGAAAGCTCCTAAACATTTATACAATTATACGGCGAATAATTGTTAATTAAGAACAGAACTTTGTCAAGACTTAAAACTAATGATGAAGACTCAAAAAGAATTCAAAATGTTTTTCGAAAGCAGACTCAAAGCTAAGACAAACTACCTACAAAATAAAAGTTATAAGAAAAATCATTTTAACACGGTCCGTTAAAGATGAAAGCTCAAAGAAGACCTAGCATGTTCAGGTTTCGAATTCAAACTTGAAGCCTTATGAAGTCCTTTGGTTTCTAAATATGTCATGATTTAACCGTTGTTGGAAATAACGAAGCCAGTTCAAGAGG